GGAGTTTGTCAATGAAGCTGGTGGAGAATACCCTTAATCTGCTTTGCTGTGTCATGCTCTCAAAATCTCAGCAATCCATATTTATTTTCTGGCCTGTGTGCCTGTGAGCCAAATGCGGCAAGATTTAGCTGCAGGTGCGCTCCGCGGGTTTCTTCATTCTCTCTGGCCCCGGGCTTCTTGGGGCACACTCTCCTCAGGATGGAGCCCAGGAGCACATAGCAAGCAGAAATGAGAGATACTCTTAAGGTCTTGGCCCAGAACTATCCCAGGGTTGCTGGGTCCACATCTCCAAAACAGGCCATTGGCCGAACCCTGCATCCCGGGAAGATGCCTCCCGTGGGAGGACCTGCAGTCAGTCACTCAGCAGTGGGAGGAGATATACCACGCAGATATACCCTGCACTGGGGACAACAAGTCCTGGGAGCAATACCCAACGTGCCACACTCCCTTTACCTTTCTGAGCCCAGGCCCTACGTGTGGACAAAAGAGGGGTGTGCTATAGTGAAACCAACTCAAAGTAACCTCACAGGGATCTGACTGCAAATTTCTAATGTGCAGGTCGTTTGGAATGTGTAGTCCTGCCCCGGGCATATAGCTCCTTCAGTAGAAGTTTCTATTTGCCTGGAGTGAGCCCCATGCAATGTTTTTGTGCATCTAGGCTGACACACCTTTGAAAGGTCTCTTTTCCAGGGCTGTGGGGGTCACTTCTACATCCTGGAGGTGAATCCCTTGTCAGTCACATGTGTGACAAATACATGTTCTCAATGTGTGGTTTTTCTTTTCCTACTTTATTGTCTATTGATGTATAAAAGTCCTTAATCTCATTGTAATTGCATGTATCCATCTTCTCCTCTGTGGCTTGTAGTTTTGTTTGTTTAAGGAATCCTTCCCCATCCTAAAGTGATAAACAGTAAAAGCCAGGACGTACCGAGTACTCTCTCTGTTTCACTATTCATTGTCTCCCTTTGACAGACGATGAGTGTAAGGCACAGAGAAGTTAAGCCAGTTGATCAAGGTCACACAGCAAGTAAGAAGTGGAATCAGCATCTGAACCCAAACAGGCTGTCTTTAGCATCTGCATTTTGACAGCTGCTCAAAATAGTGGTAGGGAGCGTGTCATGCTTAAAGTTTTGCCTTTCTCCTTAAGCCATGTAATCTGAAGTTGCTTTTTATACATGAAGTGAGATACCTGAATTAATCTTTACTGTAATAACTACCTTTCCCCCTCGGACATTCATCATTAATGAAACTAGTGTTGACTGATTCATGCTAAAGATGAACTTAAACAAACAAACTAGTGTGTGGATGCTGCCAGAGGTGATCCCAGAAGGCTGGTGTGTCTCAGTGGTTGAGCGTTGACCTATGAACCAGGTGGTCAAACTTCAATTCCTGGTCAGGGTACATGCCTGAATTGCAGGCTTGATCCCCAGTGCAGGAGGCAACCAGCCGATCAATGATTCTCTTTCATCACTGATGTTTCTATCTCTCTCTCCCTCTCCCTTCCTCTCTAAAATCAATTTAAAAAAAATTAAGAGGTGATCCCAGGCCAGGTGGGCAAAATGTGACCCTGTTCTCTGAGCTCACCATGAAGTCCAGCTTCAGATGGTGTGGCACCAGAATGGAATTCTTTGGATTAAGTGAGGAAGACAGAGCTCTGCCTGTTCAGCACTGAGGGCAGGAGGCTGATCAAAGGCTCCGCATCCTGCAAAGTGAGCAGCATATCCCCTGAAGACACCCCAGCAAGAGGCAGAGGCCATCACCAAGTCCTGAACAGCCTCCTGCTCCGCCTACACCGCTGGGACCAAAATAGCTCACAGCGGGCTGTGCTGCCGCCCTGTGAACCGTGTGGGAACACTGGTCACGAATTCTTTGTCCCAGCCACCCCCACTCTCCCTGGGACAGCCTCTGAGACCGCAGGGGCACCTGGGAATGTGCAGAACCACTCTTCACAGGCTGCACACGTCACAGCTATTCTGCATCAAGCGATGTCTTTCTCTAAAATGAGAGCTTTTTAAACAAACACAAAATAAAAAAAACCTGAAAAGGATTTTTTCAATTAAACAACGAAATGGGAAATGAGCTTGAGTGTAGCAGAGTAGAGGGGCCAGATCATAAAGGATCTCATAAGCCAGGCTTAAAAAGTGTGAACTTTATTGCATCAGTGGGGAGGTTTGGAAGCATTTTAAACAGGAAAGGAACATGACCCATTTATTATTTGCTTGTTAGAGACTGTATAACTCGTTACACTCTGGCTCATAGGATACACTGAAGACTGGCTGTGCCAGGCTCTAATGGGGTTGCCTGCAAACCACCTCCTGGTTCTTCCTTGCCAGCTGAACATGCCCACGTCACTTTCCCAGCCGCCCGTGCAGGTAAAACATACACGTGTGACCCAGTCCTGGCTAATGGGGCCTGAGAGGGAAGGTGGCTGGGAGGACTCTGAAGAGGACTCCTGTCTAATAAAAAGATACATCAGAAGAAATGCCCACTTCCTTTCTAATCGTGGTCATGCTGGCAGGTGATACCTGAGCTGCTTCCATGAAAAGGGACAAGGCCAATCCCTGGGGATGGCAGAGCGGGGAGATGGAAATGATGACGTCATAGATCCCTAAATAGCCACATTCCCCTGGAGATAACAGGTGATTGTTATTGAAGCCATGGTTATTTGAATATTCGGTTCCTTGGATCGTAAAGCATCTCAACGGAAGCATGAATAAAACCGGCACAAATTTGGGTGGTGTATAGAACATATCAAAAAGAGACATTCTCAGCCCTCGCTGGTTTGGCTCAGTGGATAGAGCGTTGGCCTGTGGACTCAAGGGTCCTGGGTTCAATTCTGGTCAAGGGCACATGCACGGGTTGTGGGCTTGATCCCCAGTAGGGAGTGTGCAGGAGGCAGCCAATCAATTATTCCCTCTCATCATTGATGTTTTTCTCTCCCTCTCCCTTCCTCTCTGAAATCAATAAAAATGTATTTTTAAAAGAGAGACACCCTCGCCAAAACAGGTTTGGCTCAGTGGTAGAGCGTCGGTCTGTGGACTGAAAGGTCCCAGGTTCGATTCCCTTCAAGGGCATGTACCCATTTGTTGCTGGCACATCCCCGGCAGGGGATGTGCAAGAGGCAGCTGGTCAATGTTTCTCTCTCATCGACGTTTCTAGCTCTCTATTTCTCTCCCTTCCTCTCTGTAAGAAAAATCAATAAAATATATTTTTTTAAAAAGAGAGAGACACCCTCAATTATTTATCCTCCTATATAATAAAAGCCTAATATGCTAAGTGTCTGACCTTTCATTTGACCATCCAACCAATTGCTATGACATGCACTGATCACCATGGGGCAGTGGTTCTGAACGGTAACTTAGCTTGCTGCTGGGGCCTAGTGGATCAGGACTGGGTCAGACTGGCCAGACACACCCTGGAGCCCTCCCTCAGTCCTTCTCCGCCCCAATCAATCGTGCACTGGTGGAATCCCTCAGCTTGGCCTGGGCCCTCTCACAATCTGGGACCCCCCAGGGATGTCAGAGAGCCAGTTTCGGCCAGATCCCCACAGGCCAGGCCGAGGGACCCCACAAGTGCACGAACCTGTGCTCTGGGCTTCTAGTTAGAAATAAATGAGCCTTTTAAAATTGGAAATACCTACCATATTAACCGCTCACTGAATATTTTGGGTGCTCAAGCAAGAAACGATACAGTTTCTGAGACAACATGTCTTTTCTCTCTTTGGAATTGTTATTCCTCATTTTCTTCTCTCCTTTGCACATTTCCCCTAAAAATCACTGGAAACGCTCTGTTCTCTTGAAGGTCTCTCTTTCAGGAAGTCACGGCAGTCAACGCACATTGTATGAGAAGAATCTCGGCTTGGTGTCAACAACAGAAGGTCTGCAAGTTCCAGAGCTTGGGGCAACAATATAGAATCACAAAGTTCTACAGGTGAACCTGGCAGAAAGAAACCTTGGGCGTAACACTGCACCGACTGCATACAGGTAAACCCAGAACATCTGGGAGAGTTCCGTAAGATCATTAACCACAACGATCTCTCTGGTGTGTCAGTCCTCCTGGTTCCCTTTGCAGGAAACCCCATCGGGTCCGAGCACAGGTTTGGGTCCTTCCACTGGGGGTCCTCTCAGTCACTGCAGGAAGCCTCTCTCCAGGGTTGGCCCTGAGATGTCATCCACCCAACCCTCATCCTCGGGCTGCTTACAGCACTTGGGGAACTCGTGACTTTCCCACATGCAAACAATTTAAAAATACAAGTGAGCCGAAACCGGTTTGGCTCAGTGGAGAGAGCATCGGCCTGCGGACTGAAAGGTCCCAGGTTCTATTCCGGTCAGGGGCATGTACCTTGGTTGCAGGCACATCCCTGGTAGGGGAGTGTGCAGAAGGCAGCTGGTCGATGAATCTCTCTCACTGATGTTTCCAGCTCTCTATCCCTCTCCCTTCAACTCTTTGTGAAAAAAAAAAAAATCAATAAAATATATTTTTTTAAAAAAATACAAGTGAGAAGCACTGCTGAGCTTCAGGGAGCTGGGATGGCCAGGTGTGACTGGCGAAGGTGCTGCTTTGGTCGGCCTGGGTCTCCCTTCCTTCCCATCCACCCCGCGAATACGGACTGGGGCGCCCAGCAGCAGGGCCGGGCGGGCATCTGGCCAGGGTCCCGGCGCCGCCCTGACAGGTGCGGCCCCGGCCGGCGTGGTGACCGGCCCCGAAGGGGGGGGGGGGTGCCCGAGGCCCAGGATGCGGGGCGGACGGGGCTCCCGAGGCGCCGACGGGCGGAGGGGGCGGGCGGGGCGGGGCGGTGGCGCACCTGCGGGCGGGGCGGGAGCCAGGTGGCCCCGAGGGGCGGGGCGGGCGGGAGCAGGTGGCCCCGATCGCCCGCCCGCCCGGCGGCGGCGGCAGCAGGAAGCGGAGGAGGCAGCGCGGCCCGGGCGCGGCGCCTCCTGTCCGAGCCCCGCGCCGCAGCCCCAGGAGGCGGGAGCCCCGGCGGAGCGGAGCGCGGCCCCATGGCAGGCCCCGGGGGCGCCGCCCTGGACGAGCTGTCCCGCAACTTCACGTACGGGGCGCCGGGCGCTGGCAACGGCTCCCTGTCGGGCGCCTGGTACCGCCGCAACCAGGTAAGGGCCGCCGCCCGCACCCCGGGCGCCCCGCGGACCCCTCCTCCGCGCCCCCTGCGGCTCCCGCCGGCTCCCCGGAGCGGAGCGCCCGCGGCCACGTGGCCCCTGCACGCGCTGACGTCACTGCCCTGGAGGGGACAGCGGGCGGGGTGCCCTCGGCTTCCACCCCTGGGCACCAGTCCCCCCGGTCCCCGGCTCTGGGGCGCACAGGTCTGCGGCTCTGACCTCCGCGCGTCATTCCTGCGCCCTTCCAGCCTGAATCTGCCTTTCCTCCCCGAAGGACTCTCTTGATTCTTTTTAAAAAATATATTTTATTGATTTTTTACAGAGAGGAAAAGAGAGAGACATAGAGTTAGAAACATCGATCAGCTGCCTCTTGCACACCCCCTACTGGGGATGTGCCCAAAACCAAGGTACATGCCCTTGACCGGGAATCGAACCCGGGACCTTCAGTGGGCAGGCTGACGCTCTATCTGCTTAGCCAAACTGGTTTAGGCTCCCAGAAGGATTCTTGGGGTGTGCGGTGGTGAATCCTCCTCCACCCCTATCCCCCCAGGATCGTGCCACAGTTAGCAGCTGTGACAGCTCCTCAGAAGCAGGGGCTCAGGAAGGGCCCAGAGTGGGAGCACCTGACTCCCAGGGGCACCTGCCTGGCTCTCTCCTTCTTTCTCGCCGGCCCTTTAGCACCGAATAGCCAGCCCAAACAGCACCAGGTTACCCCGCAGATAAACATGTAACATCAGCGAGGGGGTTGGGGGCTGCCCTTGAACTTGGGGCTTGGTTTGAGATCAGGAAAAGGGCTCTGAGGGCCCCGCTCTGGCTGCTGTGACCCTCGATAGGGCACAAGTGGATCGAGTGCGATTGCAGGCTTCCTCCCTCCCGCCTTACTTTGTTCTGGTTCTTGAACAAATCCGTGGGCCCTTTTATTCTATTAATACAACGATCTAGCCATTTGTTGCTGTTAGTCTAAAGCAGGGTGTTTTTTTTTTTAACGAATAAATGTCTGGGATCCTTGTATGCGTAAAAAGCGTTTTGAACGTCCGTTTCTGAAATGTTGAAATATCATTTTCAAAAATTTAACACAGGATTATTTATGTAAGGACAAAAGAAGTGTGCTCACCGTCGCTTTCCACAGAGGGGAGAGCGTTGCTTTAAGTCTTACCGAAAAATATACTGAAACAGGATAAATGTGGGCCCAGAGCCTCTGGATTAGCGTATGTAACCTATTCCCTGTCTCCTCTCTTCTACTCACAGGAGTTGGAAGAAAGTGGCTTTCTGTGGGAAGTTCTTTGAGGACATGTTATATTATGCTAATGCTAGTATATGTTATGGGCGTGTTATAAAGTGCTTATGGGAGAAGCACTCCTAAAAAGAGTTTAGGAAAGGCTTTTTTTCTTTTGGGAAAGAAATTAGAGTGTTAAGCTACCACGGCATCATCCAAAACAGGAGAAACCATTGTGTTCGCAGCGGAAGCCTCTTTCCTCATTAGTCTTCCTTTATTTAATGTTTCCTGGAATTCAAGACTGTCTTGGCTCTCTGAATGCAGATGACCGTGTGACATAAATGTGAGGACTTTGTTTGCAACTCTCGACTTGCCTTTGACCATATATTTATACAGGTTCGAAAGGCTATACCCAAAATAGGCTCATTGAAATTACTCGGCTGGCATTTAAACTATAGCTAGTTTGAGGTAAGACCATGTCCACTTTTCCCATTATTGTGCAAATTTAGGCTGTCTTATAAGACTGTCAATATGTTACCCTTTCAGTAATTACATTTGTTTTGAAGCAAAAGTAAAAAATCGATTTCTTTATTCATTTGGCCGTTTTATTGAATGCCTCTAGTGCTAGCCAGGCCAATAAAAAGTAAAATGGAGTTTAATTTTTATTTTATTTTATTTTATTTTATTTTATTTTTTGACCTAACTAAAAATAGAAGGCTGAAAATGAGGGTGGCTGAAGAAAAACAAAATGTGAAATAAAACTTTACTCAAAATTAGCCTTGGTTACTGGAAAGCCAAGGTTTAATCAGTTTTATCACAACTTAAATATTTGGACAGCGTCTGTTTACTGCGAGCCCAGCTCTCTGTGTCCCTCCAGCGATAGCCATCAGATCGGATTAATTAGCCTTACTCCTAGAAAAAAATCAACTCCCCTGAAACCATTTCTGTGAGAGATGAATGCGTGACAGTGGCCTCCTAAAATGAGTGTTGTCTCGGGGGAAGATCTGAGTACCTTAAAGGAATCCCCAAAGCAAGCAGAAAGTAGTGGGGGGAGAGTAGGCGCGGGGCAGGTGGGGGGGATGTTTTGGGAGCCGGGGAAGCGAGGCCTGCCTATACAAGTGTGGATGCAGTAGAGTTTTTTAGAGATATTTTCTTTATGGCCATATAAAAGGACAGTGTTTCTAAAATGGCGATTGCGCTCCCTGTTTTGTACGAAGCACTGGAAGGATAGTCAGTACACAGCCGTCTCCCTCCGTCCTGTGGGGTTATGTTCCAGGAGCCCCCAGGGAATGCCTCAAACCACAGAGAGTACCGAATCCTTTATACACTATGTTTTTTCCTATACTTACATGCCTGTGATAAAGTTTAATTTACAAACTAAGCGCAGCCAGAGACAAACATTAACAGCAAAATAGAACAATCTTACTAATACACTTTGCTATTAAAAGTTCTGTGATTGTGGTCACTTTCTCAAAATATTGTAACTACCTCCGACTTGAAATAAATGGCTTGTGTCACAGGTTCGGGCAATCCCTTGCTGGAGTCTTCCCAGAGGCTCCGTGCTTTCAGGTGCAACCACCCATTGCCATCAATTGAAGCTTACCTTGTCTCTCCCGCCCACAAAGCGCTAACACTGTGGCCATAGCTTTTGCAGTTTGGGCTAAGACCACAAACTAGCATGAGCTTCTTTTATATTTTATTATTTTTTATTGATTTGTTAAAGAGAGCATCGGAGAGAGATAGAGAGTTAGAAACATCGATGAGAAAGAAACATCGATCAGCTGCCTCTTGCACACCCCCTTCTGGGGATGTGCCCGCAATCAAGATACATGCCCTTGAGCGGAACTGAACCTGGGACCCTTCAGTCCACAGACCGATGCTCCATCCACTGAGCCCAATTGGTTAGGGCTAGCATGAGTTTTTCTTTTTTCACAATTTCACAAATAGAAAATTCATTCTTACTATAGATCTTAGCAACCTCAGCCTATCAGGTGTTTCTCTCCCATCCCCCTTCCTGCCCTTTAAGTTGAGAACGCTCACCTTTTCATTTAAAGAAAGCACTTCCTTTACATCTTGTTTTTGGCATATCCGAGTTGTCAGCATCACTACTCTTGCACTCGGGGCCATGGTTAGGTAAAATAAGGGGGCTTTGAACACAAGTGCTGGGATACTGCCACAGCTGATCTGACAACCAAGATGGTACAGGGTGACTACTGGGCAGGGAGCGTATACAGCGTGGATACGTGGAACAAAGGGATGATCTATAATATGTCCCTGGTGGGATGGAGCCAGGAGGGTTCTCAGAATAGCATGAAACTTAAAACTTACAAATTATTATTGCCGAAACCGGTTTGGCTCAGTGGATAGAGCGTCGGCCTGTGGACTGAAAGGTCCCAGGTTCAATTCTGGTCAAGGGCATGACCCTTGGTTGCGGGCACATCCCCAGTAGGGGGTGTGCAGGAGGCAGCTGGTCGATGTTTCTCTCTCATTGACGTTTCTAGCTCTCTATCCCTCTCCCTTCCTTTCTGTGGAAAATCAATAAAATATATATATTTTTAAAAACTTACAAATTATTTATTTCTGGAGTTTTCTATTTGATATTTTCAGACCACAGTTGATAGCCGGTAACTGACACCACAAACAGCAAACCTGTGGATAGGGCATGGGGAGGCTACTGTAATCTTCATACTCAAACCCTTCTTCCCAGGAATGTGTATTAGGTGTTTGGGGGAATGAGCTATGCGGGTAACTCCAAACAAGGCAGTATGTGGTGCGTGTCAAGTGAGTAAAATAAAGTCTGTGGAGATTCAGAGCAAGGTGGCTTTTGGCAGGGACCATCAGAGATGTTTTGTGGAGAGGCGGTATGTGAGCCGGACACTGAAGATGGACAGGATTTCATGGGTGGGAGATACAAGTGGTTGGCGTTCCAAGAAAAGGAAAAGTCTGGGAATGAGGGAGCAGCCCGCGTGGACTGGGCATTTTTGTTCCCGGAATAGAAGTCAGTGGCCATCCCGGTTGTAGTGGGAGACTAATTGTGAGGTGGAAATACAGTTTGGGGTCTTAGGTATAGTCATGGAGTGCCTTGCAGGACTGGTTTAAGGAGTTTGGGTTTTATCTTGTAGACATTAGGGAACCAGTGAAGGTTTTCTGAGAAGGGCGTTTGAGAAAGAGAATTAAATTAAATAAATTTAAATTAGGGTTAGCAGGATGCAGAGGCCTCAAACTGGCCAACTGTGGACCCTTTCCCCACCCATAGAGGTCTTGTTAGACCTACAGAGAGGTTTGGGAAATGTTTAATGCGTTGCCAACCTTTAAAAGTGAATGGACGATCTAGGAAGTTTCCATGATCTCTTTAAATATTAGACATCCTAGCGACACCTGGCCCTCTTTCCCACGTGGTAACCGTGAGCTGGAGTTGACAGTTTAGAACAGCTGTGCTCCCCACTTAAGCCCCTACCTTTGCTCTCATCCTTTAGCCCCATGGTCGGCCAACTGCGGCTCGAGAGCCACAGGCGGCTCTTTGGCCCCTTGAGTGTGGCTCTTCCACAAAGTACCGCGGCCTGGGCGAGTCTATTTTGAAGAAGTGGCATTAGGAGAAGTTTAAGTTTAAAAAATGTGGCTCTCAAAAGAAATTTCAATCGTTGAACTGTTGATATTTGGTTCTGTTGACTCATGAGTGTGCCGACCACAGCTTTAACCTATTGGCCCAATAGGCAATTTGCAACCAGCGTTAGAGACCCTTGTCTATTCTTCGCTATTGACTAGCTGAGTGTTCTTG